GATCCTTGCTTCCTGGTATAATCTTTGCTTCAATATAACTCTCTCTTCATGGTATAATTCTTGCTTCTTATAATTATCTTTGCTTCACTGTATAATCCTTGCCTCCTCGCGGTCAGTGCCCCCCCACCCTCCCTTACCACCCCCAATCACTCATCGCTGTATAAGACTCGTGAACGACAAGATTTAACTGTATTCAAACTCGATGCGTTAAGCCAACTCGTACAGCTCGTGTGATGTAGGGTAAGAGAGGTCAAAGGTCAGAGGTCACATCTTTTTATAACTCTAAATACCACCTAAGAGTTCACTACCTCCTATGAATGTGTGTGTGTGTGTGTGTGTGTGTGTGTCCGCTGTGTGTCCGTGTGTGTGTGTGTGTGTGTGTTAGTCCTTTTGTATTTATTTATAAATATTTCTGCCTAATTGTATTTTGCCTACATACATACATACATACATACATACATACATACCTACATACATACCTACATACATACATACATACATACATACATACATACATACATACATACATACATAAGAGATATACAGTAGCTGAACTAGGCAACTGCTGGTGTGTCCGACCGTGTACTGAAGGAGGTGTGTCCGTCTGGCTTTTGTGTCTGGTTCAGCAGGAGGAGGGAGGAGGAGGGAGGAGGCGGAGGGGGAGGAGGAAGAGGGAAGAGTATGAAACGGAATTGTGCCAGTTTCATGATGGTTAGGTTGGTTTTGCCTGTTTTGGTGGTGGGGGTGGGTAGTGGTGGTGGGGGGTGGTAGTGGTAGGGGTATATATGGGGGTACTAATGGTAGAGTGTCGGGTAGTATAGGATTAAGGGTTATATCAGGGGATTAAGGGGTCGTATCAGGGGTTTAAGGGGATATAACAGGGGCACATCAATTAACCCCTGATATCTTCCCTTACTAACGAGGTGATCTTAATCCCTTCACAGCGGGAGGTTACCCTAAGCTGAATAAAATCGTCAGGCGGAAGCCAGAATAATATAGCAAGTGCGTGACACGCGGTGACAGGGTTAAATATCCTTAATACCATTGTTAAGGATTGAAAGTTTTCTACTGTGGGACCTAACTTAACCTAACCCTACCCTACCCTACCTTAATTACCTTACCCTACCCTACCCTACCCTACCTTAACATACCCTAACCTCTCTCACCCTACCCTACTCTAACCTACCGTACTCTACCCTAACCTACCCTACCCTACCTTAACATACCCTAACCTCTCTCACCCTACCCTAACCTACCCTACCAGGTATATTTAAACACACCAATAACAACAATAATCTCACCTTGTCTGTACCTGGCTGGTCTACCGTCCTTCAAGAACCTGTCTAGGGCAGTGTGTTGGACAGAAGACCCTCCCTCCTTCCACTCTTACTTCACTCCCTTCCTCCCTCTCTCCCTTTATCTCCCCCTCCCCTCTTACTTCCCTCCCTTCCTCCACCCCTCCCTTCCTTCATCTCTCCCTCCCTCCCTCACTTCTTTCCTCTCTCCCCACTTACCTCCCTCCCTCCTCTTTCTTCTCCCTCCTTCCCTCCCTCCCTCCCTCTTACTTCGCCTTCATTTCCCTCTTCTCGAGGGGTGAAGGCGGGTGGAGGCTGGGGGCGGGATCACAGGCCGCCACTATAAACCAGAGACTCTTGGTGTGACAGACACGCCCACCTCTCTATGGTTGCCACATGTCGCCATGCCGGAAAAGTACATAGTTATGGCAACTCATTAATAAAAATAATAATAATAATAATAATAATAATAATAATAATAACAATAACAATAACAACAATAATATTAACAATAATAATTATGACAATAATAATAACAATAATAACAAAAAAAAATAACGGCAACAACAATAACAATAATAATAATAACAATAATAATAACAACAACAATAATAACAAAAATAATAACAACAATAATAATAACGATAATAATAATAACAATAATAATAAAAACAACAATAATAACAATAATAATAACGATAACAATTATAATAAAAATAATGATAACAACAATAATAATAATAACACTAACAATAATTATAATAACAATAGAATGCAGCCTCAACTTATTACTAATGATAATAAGGTCCTACACCAAAGTTAACAATCCACATATGATTCTTTTAATTATCACCTGTAATTTATACCTGTGTTTTCAAGTTAATTTGTTTGTTAAGGAACCACTTGCATGATATTTTAACCATCTGGGGATATCTTTTAACAGATCACCTCAAGATTAACCCACGTAACGCTTTTTGAGGGTTCGGTTAGCGTTAGGTTGGGTTAGGTTAAGATAGGTTGGGTTAGGTTAAGATAGGTTACGTTAGGTTGGGTTTGGTTAAGATAGGTTACGTTAGGTTAAGATAGGTTAAGATAGGTTACGTTAGGTTGGGTTTGGTTAAGATAGGTTACGTTAGGTTGGGTTAGGTTAAGATAGGTTACGTTAGGTTGGGTTTGGTTAAGATAAGTTACGTTAGGTTAAGATAGGTTAAGATAGGTTACGTTAGGTTGGGTTTGGTTAAGATAGGTTACGTTAGGTTGGGTTAGGTTTGTGTTAGGCTAAGTTAACACACCACCTACATGATACCGTCACCACCTGGGCATTATTGTACCTGTACTTTACACCCTAATTTGTACAGGTGTTAATATATCTTAATTATCACCTGTAACCATGTTTGAAATTAGCGATAGTAAATAGACCCCAGTGCTAATAGACCCCAGTGCTAATAGACCCCAGTGCTAATAGACCCTAGTCTTAATAGACCCCAGTCCTTATAGACCCCAGTCCTAATTGGTTATAGTTCTCAAAGGTCCTGGTTCTAATATATCCCAGTTATAACAGGCCCAAGTTCTAATAGGCCCCAGTTCTAATAGGCCCCAGTTATAATAGGCCCCAGTTATAATAGGCCCCAATTATAATAGGCTCTAGTTCTAATAGGCTCTAGTTCTAATAGGACCCAGTTATAATAGGCTCTAGTTCTAATAGGACCCAGTTATAATAGGCTCTAGTTCTAATAGGACCCAGTTATAATAGGCTCTAGTTCTAATAGGACCCAGTTCTCTTAATAGACCCCCAATCCTAATAGACCCAGCTTAATAGACCCCCAATCCTAATAGACCCAGCTTAATAGACCCCCAATCCTAATAGACCCAGCTAAATAGACCTTTAATCCTAATAGACCCAGCTAAATAGGCCACTTAATCCTAATAGACCCAGCAAAATAGACCCCAATCCTAATAGACCCAGTTAAATAGACCCCCAATCTAATAGGCCAGCTAAATAGGAGCCCACAATCCTAATAGACCAGCTTAATAGACCCCCAATCCTAATAGACCCAGCTAAATAGACCCCAATCCTAATGGGCCAGCTAAATAGACCCCCCAATCCTAATAGACCCAGCTAAATAGACCCCCAATCCTAATAGACCCAGCTAAATAGACCCCGCAATCCAGCTTGACCGAACGATTATGACTGAGGTCTAATCCAATATAACACTTATCAACACGGCAATCTATCACTACTTGGGGCCCCAATTGTTATGATTAGAAGAGTTACATCAGGGGCCCATTAGAACAGGGGCCCATTAGGACAAGGGCCCATTAAGACAGCCATCTCAATCAGCTAAATGAAACTGTATGTTCTTGTGCCCTAGATTTTTATGCTATAATATTTTTTTGTGTGTGTGTGAGTTCTCCGTTTTCTGTGGTGGAGCGATACGATAGACCGTGAGACAGACAGACAGACAGACAGACAGGTGTATTTAGAGACGGAGACGCTTTAAAGACAGACAGACAGACATACAGACAGGTATATCTAGAGACGGAGACGCTTTAAAGACAGACAGACAGACAGACAGACAGGTATATTTAGAGACGGAGACGCTTTAAAGACAGACAGACAGACGAACCAGACAATACACTGAGTTAACGCTATCCAGAATCCGCTATCACTTAACCTAACCCCTGTTAACTAGAGAGAGAGAGAGAGAGAGAGAGAGAGTGAGTTTCTACCCCTCCCTCATCATGACCACCAAAGCCATCCTCATTAACTCAACTTATGGTCGAGTCTTTGCTTGAGGAGAATCTGTCTAGTGTTAGTGCTTGTGGGGGATAATGATGATAATGATGATGATGATGATGATGATGATGATAATGATAATGATGATGATAATGATGATAATGATGATGATGATGATGATAGTATAAAACGATGGGTTGATAGATATATAGATAGATAGATAGATTTACAGACAGAAAGATAGACAGACAAATGGACAAATAGACAGAGAGATGGACAGACAGACAGACAGAAACACTACTACTACCTCTCCTGACACACACACATAGACTTGGGCTCTGTTACCTCCTCCTATTCTTCTTCTTCTTCTTCCTCTTCCCTCGTCCTCTTCCTCCTCCCCCTCTCCCTTCCTTCGTCCCCTTTCCCCCCTCCACTTTCTCCTCCCTTCTTCTCTTTCACCTCCCTCTTTATCCTCCCTCCTCCTCTTCCTCCTGCTCCCGTCCTTTCCTCCTCCCCTTTCCATCCTCCTCTCCTTCCCTTCCTCCTCCCTCTCCCCCTTCTTCCTCCCCCCTCTTCTTCCCTCCTTCCTCTCCCCCTCCCCCTGGTCCTGGAGCGGCGTACCAGACACAAGGTAGACAAGATAATCCCCCTGAGGGAGGAGGAGGGCCAGACGGAGGCGCCGCAAACAGCCCAGACAATGTTTGTGGTTGACTCACCTCCTCCCCACACACACACACACACACACGCACACACACACACACACACACATTATTCAAAAGTGAAAAAAAGAACTCACGAAGAATAGTGTTGAGGAGGGATGGCGGCTGTAGTGGGGGGTGGCAGTAATGGGGATGGCGTACAGGGGTGGCGGCTGTAGTGGGGGTGGCGGCTGTAGTGGCAGTGGCGGCTGTAGTGGCGGTGGCGGCTGTAGTGGGTGGTGGCGGCTGTAGTGGTGACGGCTGGTGGCGATGGCGGCTGTAGTGGCGGTGACGGCTGGCGGTGGCGGCTGTAGTGGCGGTGGCGGCTGTGGTGGGGTGACGGCTGTGGTGGCGGTGGCGGCTGGTGGCGATGGCGGCTGTGGTGGCGGTGACGGCTGTAGTGGCGGTGGCGGCTGTAGTGGCGATGGCGGCTGTAGTGGGGTGGCGGCTGTGTGGGGTGGCGGCTGTAGTGGCGGTGACGGCTGTAGTGGCGGTGACGGCTGTAGTGGCGATGGCGGCTGGTGGCTGACGGCTGTAGTGGCGATGGCGGCTGTGGCGGCGTGTGGCGTGGCGGTGAGGGCTGTGGTGGCGGTGTTTGCGGTGGGGGCTGTAGTGGCGGTGGCGGCGTGTGGTGGTGGCGGCTGTAGTCAGTGGCGGCTGTGGTGGCGGTGGCGGCGTGGTGGTGGGGCTGTAGTGGTGGCGGCGTGTGGCGGTGGGGCTGTGTGGCGGTGGCGGCGTGTGGCGGTGGCGGCTGTGGCGGCTGTGGGCGGTGGCGGTGGCGGCGTGTGGCGGCGGCTGTAGTGGCGGTGGCGGCGTGTGGCGGTGGGGGCTGTAGTGGCGGTGGCGGCGTGTGGCGGTGGGGCTGCGTGGTGGTGGCGGCGTGTGGCGGTGGCGGCTGTAGTGGCAGTGGCGGCGTGTGGCGGTGGGGCTGTAGTGGCGGTGGCGGCGTGTGGCGGTGGGGGCTGTGTGGTGGTGGCGGCGTGTGGCGTGGGGGCTGTAGTGGTGGTGGCGGCGTGTGGCGGTGGCGGCTGTAGTGGCGGTGGCTGCGTGTGTGGCGGTGGGGGCTGTAGTGGCGGTGGCGGCGTGTGGCGGTGGCGGCTGGCGCCGTAGGCCTAATCAATCCAACAGGGTCGCGCCTTAAAGGGGATATTCCGTCTCGTCTCGTGAACTGGGTCAAGAGAAGGCGGCTGCTGGCTCTCTCTCTCTCTCTCTCTCTCTCTCTCTCTAACAAGACTCAGGTTACTCTAGGTCAGGTCATCGTGCACCATAATGGGTCATCGTGCACCATAATGGGTCATCGTGCACCATAATGTCATAGGTGCACCATAATGTCATAGGTGCACCATAATGGGTCATCGTGCACCATAATGGGTTATCGTGCACCACAATGTGGGTGAGGCTCTCTGTTCAGTGCACCACAATGGGATAAAACTCTTGGGACATTGTACGCCATTGCCGGTGATAAGACAGTGGTCATATAATATTGTTGTGGCTCTGCGCGCCATAATGGTGACGGGTCATGTTCTTTTTCAAGACTGGAGTTAATTATTGCGTCATGTATCTTACGTCAGCAAGAGCGTGTAGCACCTGTGACACCTGTATTAATTGTTGTACCTCTGATACATGTTGCATCTGTAGTAATTGTTGCACCTGTAACACCTGTAATAATTGCTGCACCTATGACACCTGTTGCACCTGTAATAATTGTTGCACCTGTAACATCTGTAGTAATTGTTGCACCTGTGACACCTGTTGCACATGTAGCATTTGTTGCACCTAACATCTGTAGCACCTGTTGTACCTGTTGCATTTGTTGCACATGTCGCATCTGTAATACCTGTAACACTTGTTGCATTTTTACGGGATTAGGTTTGTTGCATCTGTTGCACTTTTAACACCTTAAGCATCTGTAACACCTGTTACATCTGTAACACCTATTGCATCTGTAAAACCTGTTGCACCTATAACACATGTTGCACCTATAACACTTGCCCCACCTGTAGCACCTGTAACACCTGTTGCACCTGTTGTACATGTTGCACCTATAACACCTGTTGCACCTGTTGTACATGTTGCACCTATAACACCTGTTGCACCTGTTGTACATGTTGCACCTATAACACCTGTTGCACCTGTTGTACATGTTGCACCTGTAACACCTATTGTACATGTTGCACCTATAACACCTGTTGCACCTGTTGTACATGTTGCACCTGTTGTACATATTGCACCTGTTACACCTGTTGCACATGTTGCACCTATAACACCTGTTACATGTTGCACCCAACACCTATAACACCTGTTGCACCTGTTGTACATGTTGCACCTATAACACCTGTTGCACCCATGTTGCAACACCTATTGTACATGTTGCACTATAACACCTGTTGCACCTGTTGTACATGTTGCACCCATAACACCTGTTGTACATGTTGCACCTATAACACCTGTTGCACCTGTTGTACATGTTGCACCTATAACACCTGTTGTACATGTTGCACTTATAACACCTGTTGCACATGTTGCACCTGTAACACCTGTTGCACCTGTAACACCTGTTGCACCTATAACACCTGTTGTACATATTTGCACTTATAACACCTGTTGCACATGCACCTATACACCTATTTGCTATAACACCTGTTGTACATGTTGCACCTGTAACACCTGTTGCACATCACCTATAACAATTGTCCCACCTGTCCACCTGCCTAAACACCTGTTGCACATGTTGCACCTATGTTGCAACACCTGTTGTACATGTTGCACCTGTAACACCTGTTGCACCTGTTGTACATGCACCTATAACACCTGTTGTACATGTTGCACCTGTAACACCTGTTGCACCTGTTGTACATGTTGCACCTATAACACCTGTTGTACATGTTGCACTTATAACACCTGTTGCACATGTTGCACTTGTAACACCTGTTGCACCTGTTGTACATGTTGCACCTATAACACCTGTTGTACATGTTGCACCTGTAACACCTGTTGCACCTATAACACCTGTTGTACATGTTGCACTTATAACACCTGTTGCACATGTTGCACCTGTAACACCTGTTGCACCTGTAACACCTGTTGCACCTATAACACCTGTTGTACATGTTGCACCTGTAACACCTGTTGCACCTGTTGTACATGTTGCACCTATAACAATTGTCCCACCTGTCGCACCTGTAACACCTGTTGCACCTATAACACCTGTTGCACATGTTGCACCTATAACAATTGTCCCACCTGTCGCACCTGTAACACCTGTCCCACCTGTAACACTTGTCGCACCTGTTGTACGTGTTGCACCTGTTGTACATGTTGCACCTATAACACTTGTTGCACCTGTAACACCTGTTGCACTTATAACACCTGTAGCACTTGTAACACCTGTAATGGGTATACCCACCAAGATTTTTGTAGCAGGTAACCTAACCTAACCTAACCACCTGTTCTGTTTGTTGTTTCAGGTATGATGGAGGAAATGATGATCCACTCTGCTAGACCAGGTGAGGTAACTTCATTCACTTCACCTCTTGTTTACTTCACCCCTTGTTTACTTCATCTCCTGTTTACTTTATCTCGTGTTTACTTCACCTCCTGTTTACTTCACCTCTTGTTTACTTCACCTCTTGTTTACTTCACCCCTTGTTTACTTCATCTCCTGTTTACTTTATCTCGTGTTTACTTCACCTCCTGTTTACTTCACCTCTTGTTTACTTCACCTCTTGTTTACTTCACCTATTGTTTCACTAAGATGAACGTCATTTACTACCCCTAACCTCACATCACCCTACCTCACATCACCCTACCCAACCTCACCCTACCTCACATCACCCTACCTCACACACCCTCACCTCACCTCCACATCACCCTACCTCACATCACCCTACACTCACATCACCCTACCCTACCTCACATCACCCTACCTCACATCACCCTACCTCCATCACCCTACCTCATCACCCTACCTCACATCACCCTACCTCACACCACCCACACCCTCACCCTACCACATCACCCTACCTCCTCACATCACCCCTACCTACCTCACATCACCCTACCTCACATCACCCTACCTCACTACCCCCCAACCTCACATCACCCTACCTCACATCACCCTACCTCACATCACCCTACCTCACATCACCCTACCTCACTACCCCCCAACCTCACATCACCCTACCTCACATCACCCTACCTCACATCACCCAAGGCACGACAAACCACTTGACAGGTAAAAACAAAAAAAAGTTTCCTTGTTGAGGTAAAAAAAAATCTTTGTAAATTAATATGTCGTAAAAATCTTGGGTTTGTTAAGACATTTGTTCATTTAGTTTTATTGCCTGAGTTAACCGCGACCCAGTTTATGTTTGGTAAGAGTCGAGGTGTTTGGTTGTGTCTTCGTTATGTTTAGTTTGTTTTGGTTATGTTTCAGTTTTAGTTTAGTTTAGTTGATTTTGGTTATGTTTGGTTTGAATGCGTTTGGTTAGGTTACGTTTGGTTTAGTTATATTTGGTTAGGTTATGTTTGGTTAAGTTATGTTTGGTTAAGTTATGTTTGGTTAAAATTTGGTTTGATTAAAGTTTGGTTTGGTTAGGTTTTGATTTAGTTAGGCTTGGTTAGGTCAGTTAGTTTCTTACAGTTTTTTAAAGTTATGTTTAGTTCATCAAGGATACAGTAAGTTAGGCTTTATGTTAAGTCGTGGACATGATGTAAACGTTCGAACATTATTATAGTGACCAATCACAGCTCAGAGTTTTTGTTTACATAAAAATGGCGGCTCTCCGGATCAACCGTTGGGATACAAGAATCTCTTTGGGGATTTTTTTTAATAAGCTTCAACTCGCTGCTGCTGGAATGTAATTGCTTCAAGGAATGTTTATTTTTTCTTTATACTAAAACCATTATAATTATACCTTAGACCCTTAGACGTTTGCTTATGTCACTGAAGGGAATATGGAGGCTTGCAATGTTGCCAACTAGACCAAGAGTTTTGAGAAATTTCGACGACTTGGCCACATTAAATTGACCGAAACTAATTTGGCTATACTAACTTGACCTTAACTCTCCTGACCAATATAAGACAATTTAACTTAGCCTAAAGTAACCTAACTTAAGCCTAATTATTACAACTTAACCTATTCTAATTTAACCTGACTTATATTTTCCTGACCCTAACCTGACGAGACCACACTAACCTTACACAGGGTAGTTAAGGTCAGGTTAGGTTAGGTTAAGTTTGATAAGGTTAAGGTAAACTAGGCTAGGCTAAGTTCAAATCGTTTTATCTGATCCTATATAAAGTGCACACACACACACACACACACACACACACACACACACACACACACACACACACACACACACACACACACACACACACACACACGACCAAACATCTATAATACAAGAGTCTCCCCCCCCCTGTGGTTATACAAGTTGATTAAAGAAAACGCACTACACTATTTTTTTCCCCAGAACGAGGAAGTTAAATCCCGTAGGTTTTAAGTGACAGAGAAAACTATTTTATTTTCACCTCAAGAGTTACCACCTTCACTCATTTCACCTAATGAGAAAACATACCTGAGGTTAGGTTAGGCTTCCGTTATGCTGGGGTGGGTTAGGTTAGGTTGGGTTAAGGTGCGTCCACACGTGCGTACATTTTGTCGCCAACATGTGATCAACAAGAGGAAACACAGATCTAGTGGACGCGGCCGCACCCTACCAGAGTCGAAACCCTGTGCCTCATTTCGTCTTGTCTATCACATGTTGGCGACAAATGTCCACACGTGCCGACGCAGCTTTTGGTTAGGTTAGGTTAACGTTAGGTTAGTTAATCTCAGGTAAAATAAATGGGGTGCTAATCTTCAGGTGATATATGTTATTGACATCTCATCGTTAATGACTCCAATAATACCTGCATTAATGTAACCCATTATTATGAACTAACTTAACCAAACTTGAGCCATCCTCTCACGACCAAGACCAACCTAATCTAAACTCTTATCTGTGTGTGTGTGCGCGAGAGAGACCCCTGCAGCACTGTCCTTGACCTTTTTAGTGTGCAGAGTGACGTAGAAACGGGGTTTGGGGGTGACACTGCTACTGTAGACAGTATATAAGTCGATCGAGAGAGAGAGAGAGAGAGAGAGAGAGAGAGAGAGAGAGAGAGAGAGAGACTGTCACGCCACGCAGCCAAGGACACACTTTTGTTTTCTAGAGAAAGAAGATTAGAGGAGGGAGGAAGGGAGTTAATAGTTCGGAAATTGAAGAAGTTTAGGAGGAGGCAGAAGGTGGCGGCTCTGGCCGCCTTGCTACTGGTTAGCTAACCTAATAGTGTGATAAAGTTGTGTCTTGGGCTAGTTATTGTGGGTGATTTTCTTGGAGCTGATTTACTGGTTGGTTGTCTGCTTCTGACGGCTCTGGCACAAGACAGCTCACCCTATCCCATTTACGGGTGTTTTAGGGTCATATTTCATATTCCGCCGACCCTACTGGCGGATGCTGGTCTAGGGAGGTTATCTATTGCCTGGCCGTAAAGATCGGGGGTGGTAATGGACTTCTTGAGGTTTGGAAACTTTAGGAACCATCTATGGTTGTTGTCGTTATCTGGTGGAAGTCTTTGTAGGAGTTCTTGCTCTGGCCAGGGTGTGTAGCTGCTGGTTGATGGGTCTTATTCTCAGGTCTGTGTATCTCGGCTGTGGTTCTGATGAAGGAGTGTCTCTCACCTGTGACGAATCTCAGGGCTTCGTTCTGTACCACCTGTAGTTTTAATAATTGGAAGGTGCTCATAGTGTGAAGAGGTACTGCTGGGAAGGTTAATATCGGTATGATAAGCGATGTAACCAAGACCAGGCGGAGTTTTATTTTCTCAGGAAGCGCGTTAAAGCGGTATAGTTTCTTAAGCTCTTTTCCTTACTGGTGTGGACACCCAAATTTTGTGCAGTTGACCCCAAGTAGGTATTAGGCAGCTCCCAAACAGGGAGATACTACCGCCTGGGATGATATTGGAAGCATAATGCGTTGTCTATGGTAGACCCTGCTGCCATATGGCATCACAAAAATTGTGACCAAATCCCAGGTTGCTCATATGACTCTCTGCCTCATTTACACACAATTGCAGGGTCTCAATTGTTTCTCTTACTATGACAACACAACATACATGTATTGTTTCTCACTTCTGATCTTTTTTTCATTTTTGTATTTCTTTATGGTTCTTCATTATTATTATTATTATTATTATTATTATTATTATTATTATTATTATTATTATTATTATTATTATTATTATTATTA